CCAGCCAAAACTGAAAGAGTACACTAATAAGCAGATTACACACTTTTCAGGGTTCTCCTGGCCAAAACTAAGATTGTGGTTGACTTCTGATCCAATTTCCAAGATCCCAATAATGGCAAGTTACCTCAAGATTATTACCTAGTGTGATAAATCAAGCATCAAGTTAAAATGTAAACAAAATAAAACCAAAAATTTTTTTTTTTTTAAATTAGTGGCATAGGTAATGAAAAATAAATAGAATAAAAAGGACTGGATTTACCTGAAGTAAAATGTTGACCAGTCATTGTCCTGGCATGTCATGATTCCTCCTGCACATTCATCATTAATAGAATAAAAAGGACTGGATTTACCTGAAGTAAAATGTTGACCAGTCATTGTCCTGGCATGTCATGATTCCTCCTGCACATTCATCATAAGAGCAGCTGTGAATTCTGGCAGTGATGGGGGTCTTCAAGTGATCTCTGTGAAAACAACAACTTTAACTTGTAAGTAAAATAATACATTAATTAGTAGAAGACAGAAACTTTATTATATTAGAGCGCAAGCTTGCATTAATATGAAGACAATATCCTATGAAAAATTTTAACCTGAAAGTTACCACCATAAAAAGTACCAAAAAAATTAATCACACACTTGATGTAATCATTGCTTTTACACCAGCCATGTTTGCATGGGCGTTTCGACAAAAAATTCCTGGTTCTCTAAGGGAAAGTTGAATAGCTTTGTTTATTTAATCTATTAAATAGTTAAAGTCCAACCACTATTGGAGTTAGGGAGGTGGTGTTAAATGAACAAAAGAAAACCTTCAAAATGGTCACGTCAAGCTCAGTGCAAGATTTTAACAACTGCATTACAGTAGTGAATCTTTAAAAATTTAAATAAGATTTTTTTGTCACAGATCAATAGTAATATAATTCTAAACAGAAAGATGTAACTCTTGATTATTACTACTATGATTTTAACCCAAAAAATGTATGCTGTAGCTACAGCTGAATCTAAATATAAGAAGCAATCCATCTAAATAGCTCTTTTGCATTTTTTTATTAATTCTTTTACAGAAAAAATGCACTCAATATGTCAGAAGGAAATTTAGATTTTTTAGCGATTTTTATCTAATTTTAACTAAATTAGGAATATGCAAGACCCTAACCTAATCAGTGAAACTAACCATTCTTTTGATATTTTGTACATGCACTTGCAGGATTTATCTTTATATAAAGTGCATTCAAAGGCTCAAGATACTAATATTTATTATTGGAAGGGGGATTAGGATGATGCTAGGTGTTAAGAGAAAATGTAAAGATATGTGTTTATTATGGCATGTAATTGACTAGGACAGAGGCTCCCAGACTGTGTCCTGCTGCAACCTGAAGTGTTAAAAAATTAATGGACTTATTGCAAGCCATTTATAATTAAGTTAGTATTTTTCACTAGTTCTCCAACCTACTTGGTACTCTGTACTTATTAAAGTAGCAGTTGGTTTTGTGCAGCGTATATGCTGTATCAATTAAATATTGTTTTGATAGAGTCAAGTGAAGTTAATGAGGTATGTCTTCTTGTATAAGTATAAAGGTTTCAAAAATGGATTAGATTGTTTAAAAAGTGCTATTTTACAGTGCACAAAGAATGTGGCTTAGAGCAAAGTTGAAAATACATGGGTGCAGCAACGATGCTGTGACTCCAAAACGCTTGGGAAACTCTGGACTAGGATATTTTAAATTCATGTACTAGCACCATTGCTGGGAGGAGAGCTGGTCACCCGAAAGCTTTTTCGTTAACCCTCTTGATCTCTCGCTGTCTAGCAGTGAATCTGACACTGACGAAAACAATCAGGAAAGTAATGAAGACAATCAAAATGATTATGTTTACGATAATGTTGTGAATCCTTGGATTAGGATTAGGTGTTCTGAATTGGATAGAGATGACCCCTATGAATTTTCATAAAAAAATAGAGCCTTTAAATATGCCTCATGGCATAATCACCCAATTTGAGTATTTATGCTAATTTTTACACAATATATCATTAAAATGTTTGTGAGAGAGAATAATAATAATAACTAATAAGTATGCAGACAACTTTCTCCTTAATACCCAGCTCAAATAAACCATAATTGGATGCACAATGATGAAAAGGACTGCTCTGTCTCAAACAACCGAAAAGTACCCAGAGGGTAGGAAAAGGAGTAGAACTCTGTGCCAGGGGTGTCTAAAGGGCCTACATGGGCCTTATTTCCCAAAACACATATGTTAGGGTCCATTCATGCTTCATCCATCAAAAAAATTCACATAATTTACACCGGTAAGTCATGTTTATTCTCAGTCGAAATCGACGAGTCTGTTTACATGCAGCAAAAATCATGTCGGCGAGTTTTTGCATGTTTTTGCCACAACAATGGGTCTTTGGAGGCCTTTGGAGGCATTTGTCAGGAGATTAAGAGAGTGTTTCATGTTTTGTGTACAAGATAGATCAGCAGCTACACATTACACTTATGCCGATAATCACAGCACACATCCTGCTGGGCACAACAGTCATGTCAGATCAATGGAGAGCATATAAATTATAATCTAATGCAATTGGCACCACTCCGGGATTGACTCATCAAACGGTCATTCATTCTGTTAAGTTTTTGGATCCAAACTCAGGTGCCAATAGCCAATACCCAAAGCATCGAACGTTTGTGGAAATCTGCAAAAGAGAGAAACTAGCGCCACAATGCCAATGGCACACACAGACATATGCTCGATTTGTATAGGTGTATTCATGTGGACATGTGGCATCAACGTGTTAAAGTAAATGGTTTTTATGTCTTCAACGCCATTCTAGACGATATTGTTCAATTTTGGCCACTACAGCAGCGGAGGACCTTTAAAGAAGTACCGGTAAGTTAAAGTATGTTTTTATTCAAAATAACGTTTTATTGGAAGTGTGAAGTGTTTTAATGGAAATGTGAAATAATGTATATTATACATTGTATAATAATTTTTGAATTCAAAGTTTTTTAGGCTAATTCAGATTGATCAGGTTTAGGGATACATTTAGGGTTCATGTTAGGTTTAGGGATACATTTAGTATTTAGGGTTCAGGTTAGTTTAGGGATACGTTTAATTTTAATTAGGACATAATTTCGTGGGTCACCATAACCAAGATGGCGGCCGCGGGCTGATCTCTCCGAATTGTTTTTAATTCAAAAGAATATTTGTTTTATGGGAAGTGTGTGAGTAATAATAATTTTTGCGGGAAATTAAAATTGAAGTATCCACTTCTGATACCGGGTCCGAATAGCCGCAGCCAAACTTTTCACTACAATTACAGATAGACAGTAACCGATTTTCCGCCAAAAAAAAAAAAAAGCGACTTTGATCTTGAATCTGACTTGATTGATGTCATGTTAATGATTATAGAACTATATTTAAAATAGAATTTAAAAATACAATAAAATTATAAACATAAACGTATTCCGAATAGCCGCAGCCAAACTTTTCAATACAATTACAGATAGACAGTAACCGATTTTCCGCAAAAAAAAAAAAAAGCAACTTTGATCTTGAATCTGACTTGATTGATGTCATGTTAATGATTATAGAACTATATTTAAAATAGAATTTAAAAATACAATAAAATTATAAACATAAACGTATTCTTACTTGCTTTTAGCTGTACGTCACAGTGTTTCTTCAACGCTACATACTACATGGAAGTCTTCAAAATATTTCTCGATTGATAATAATGGCTCTAAGATGGCAAACCAACAGGAAGTATCCGTCATAATCATCAAGTGACCAACCGAATATATATAAAGCCCTCACGTGACCAGCCGGGTCGGAATAGCCAATTACTGCTATAGCCACTCGGTTTGAAATTACACCATTGTCTGGTGCCAGATTTATTTAATAATTTCCTTACATTTTACCATAAATATTTATGTCACTCGGGCCGGCGACGTAAGGCTTGCAGACCAGTACCGGTAATGAGGAACGCTGGATTACGAAAAGTCACTAGGCATAATATTAATGTAGCGATAACTAGCATAATACCAATAGTAAAGCAATAGCTTTTAGACATTAGAAACTTCAGGTTGACATTTCTTTTTTTTTTTTTTAAGTATTTAGAATTAGAAGTCATCAATTTCACAGATTTGCAGGTGACAGCGGCTCATTAAAAGTATATTAGAAACTGGCAGTGTCATCATTTCAGAATGTGTGCATAAATGTACGTGCTTTGTGCAAAAACCCCGTCCTCCCCACCAGCTTTACGCACTAGTAGGCCTACTCAGTACCCAAAATAAACATCAACCACCCCCCCCCCCCCCCCCCAGCCTGTGCCTACAATCACAATACTATCCATTAATATTATGATTCGAATAATCAAAATAAAGCTACAAATTGAAGTTAAAAATTATTTATTTTATTTACATGTAATACTTTGATTTTTGAAATAAATGAATAAATAAAAAAAGATTAGTTGGGTTTTAACAAAATGAACACATTGTAATTAATTTTTTTATAAGTATAATATTCAGTTTTAAAAAAAAAATGATAACATTTTCTCAAAACTTGATTTGTAATTAGTCTATAATTGTAAAATGAAGGAGGAAAAAAATGTACATCTTTTACTTGGGTTAAGTTGTTTACATTTTTGCATATATTTAGCTTTGAAATATTCGGACCAACTAAATTTTAAAAGTTTAATGCAACAAGTATGAGACCCCCCAAAAAAAGTTATTAGGCAGTATGTGCTTTAAAAAAAAAATATTTGTTCTAACTTTGCAAATGTAAAATGTTATATCTCTCCAGCTGTAGAGACATCGAGACTTCTAAATGTACTCCTACAACTATCTCTAGGAAGCCTTCGTCGGCGATAAAACAACAGAAAAATAGTATTCAATTAAAAATTAGAATTTAGCTGAGAATTGCCGGTAGAATCCGAGAGGGCAGCAAAAGAATTGTCCAAAAAGGTCAATCTGGCAAGCCTGACCAGCGACCATTGTTAAACTAATATTGTTTAGCAGTCTAGCAGTTATGTGACAAACAAAACAGCTGATATTTTGACATATTTTGATTTTATAATGGACATCACCATGCCCATTATTCTTTCAATATCTTCAGCCTTATCATATGGATATTTTAAAAGTTTACAATGTATGCCTTTCAGTTAACGCCTTGACATAATTTATTATTTACAAGAAAGGTAACTTAACCTACTCCTACCTGCCTACCTACTGATCCTGCCAACTGAACTCATCGAGTTCAAGCCAAGCAACTCAACTGACTTGTGACCTAGACTGCCTAGGCCTAGAGTGACAAGGACTAGTCTACTGATCTACTGTCAGTGAATGACTTATATTTTAAGTCTTATTGATATCGTGAAATTAATAATTATTAACATCATAGTATAGTCTCTCAGTCTCATCTAATCTCCTACTCACTTGTTTTTCTCAAACTGGCAACTATTTCTTTGATGCTTCACTATTTTAATTATTATCAATATATAAATTACCCTAATGAGGCCTAATGCTATTTAAAATTTAGTCATGCATAATATTAATATATAGTCCTATTATATACATTCAGTTTAAGCAATATTAAAGTTAAGTTCATTTATCAATTACTCTTACCCCTCCCCCCCCCCACACACACACACACACGCCCACATTTTAAAAACATTTTTCATAAAACTAAAACTTATATTATAATTTAATTATTAATAGTAAAACACAACATAGATCATAAAAATTATTGTCATAAATACATAGGCCCTACATCCAGTGAAAGTGGCCCTACACTAGCTTACACTAGTCACTAGACATACCCATCTGCCCATCTCCTTTATTTACATTATTGAAACTAAACAACTACTAATGTACAATAAGTTGGTTAACCAGAAATGTGCCTGTTAAAAAATAATAATCAAATAATCTATTTTATCTTAATCTTATGACTTATGAGTTTTGTAAAAATAACAATATTGTTGCTAATTTCTTCACTGAAGACTTCAGAACTCAATATTCAGTGTTTATTAAGTGTGCATGAATACAATATTTTAAATGTTATTATTTTCATCATATATAATCTTTGTCTATCAATCAATGATATAGTCTAACGCTTCTGATTATCTCTTGAAACTTTTTGTACAAATATATAAATAAAAAAATCATTTTTTTTTTACTTTATCTGTGGAAATTTGTTAGGTCTACATAAAAAAAAACAAGACATTTTTTTTTTTAACAAAAGTTGAAGTTGTCACTTTATACTCATTATAGTACAATATGATCAATAATGACAAATGTTACAAACAAGAAGAACTAACTATTATTTATGCCTTTCACAGAATTGAAAATGGAGACCGACAAATACAGTCAAAGAAAAATAATTGAATTTATTTCCAATCATTTCAACAAAAATGTGGCATTTGTAAAGTTTTTAACATCATATGAAGATAAAGTTGCCTTGGTGAAGGACATGTCTCCCCTCTGCTCAGCTTCTATGTACATTTTAAAAATATTTCTGTTAAAGAAAAAAAAAGAGATTTTTCAAGAAAGAACTTCCATTGTACAGAGTTTAGAACAGAAAGGATTTTTGTGTTCCAGTTTTCTTGTTGGTGTGAATGGAAACTGCATACAAGAATTTGATACTGGTAAGCTCCGAAAATGTTTCATTTTTAGTTATAAAATGTAATGCTAAGTGTTTTAAATGCGTCCACTAAAATTTACAAAATTAATATTTGTTTATAAAAGTCAATTAGCGCCTTACCGCTGCACCACGGAGCTCAATTATTAAATTAAATATTAAAAGCAAATAACAAAATGAAAAATATCAAATTTAAGAGTTCCCCTCACCCCTGACTTGTGAGAATGTGAGTGACCGTTAGAAACTTTTTAAAAATATCTATGCAACTACCGGGTATTTATTACTTTTACATCTTTATTTTAAGACGTGCGCATGTCGGGGTGGCCATATTTGTTTACGTTCAACAAATAGTCTACTCTAGCACGTTTTTCTTTTCGTAATCGTTGCAGTATTCTTGTATTTCCTCAATTTTTAATAATGGGTGACAGTAATAAAGGTGAGACCGGCGAAAAATCTCCTCCTAAAAAGAAACTGTGTGTTACATCATTCTTTAAAAAAATTGCAACGCCCGGTTTATCAGCAACATCAACGTCATCAACAAATGTGCCACAGGTGCAAGATGCTGCCAAAATACTCCTGCAATGACATTATTATTGGATAACCACATATCCAGTGTGTCCTCAAATTCTAGTGAATCCGAATCTGATTCAGAATCATCATTATGTGACACATTGACATCATCAGCCGCAAAGAAAGCCACAGACATTACAAGTCTCTGTTCGGCTGTATTTTTTTATATTGGTGAGGTCAACTTTAACCAAACATTACCTGAATCAGTAAAGAAATCAGTGCTTTTGGAAAAGTTTCAACCATCTAAGTACTGGAAAGGGCCTTTGAAGACAGTTGGGAATAAACAACGCCGTTTGCCTAGTTCTATGTTTAATTCAAATGTGTATCCGTTTATGAGTTACAGTGTCAAAGCGGATGGTGTTTTCTGTGCTGCCTGCTCAGTATTTGCTTCTGGTACGACATGCGCTTTTATACGCGAGCCGCATTCAGACTGGAGTAACATAGACCGACATGCACAACGTCACATAAAATCCTTGACACATCTTAGCTCTATACAAGCAGCATATGCATTTATAAGTGTATGCGAAGGTAAATCAGTCTCCGTGAAACAGCAGCTATCTCAACTGTACAATGACAAAGTCCAAAGGAACACAGCTGCTCTCCAATCCATTATTAAAACAATAATACCATGTGGACAGCAAAACATACCAATGCGCGGAAAATCAGATGATCGGAGCAATTTTATGGCTCTTCTTAATTTTAGAGCCGAGCACGATCTTGCTCTTAGTGAGCATCTACGCATCGCGTCAGGTAATTCAAAATGCATCAGTCATAGAATACAAAACGAGCTGGTTGCTCTGTGCGGAAACCAGATTCGAGACAAGATCGTCAAGGAATGCATCGCTGCAAAATACTTCAGCATCATTGTTGACGAAACTACAGATGTCTCAGTCAAGGAGCAAGTGAGTTTGAATCTTCTTTTTGTCACATCTGATCCAAAACGGCAACAAGAATTTGTGTCCTTTGAGGAAACGTCTGACACAACAGGTGAAACGCTATATAATCTAATTACTGGAAAACTACAAGAGCTTGGCCTTGATATCCGCAATATTGTTGGTCTCGGGTTCGATGGAGCTGCAAACATGAGTGGAAAAGTAAAAGGAGCTAGAGGACGCTTCCAACATGTGGGAACAGCAGAATACGTCCACTGTCGATCACATACACTAAACTTAGCTATTGTGAATACTTGCAGTGAGGGCGCTGTTAGAAATATGTACAACACGGTCAGTGAAACTGTTAACTTTATTACAGCATCTGCCAAGCGTCTAAATATATATACAAACTCAAGCCATGAAGATGCAACACAACTTAAGAAATTCTGTGCTACAAGGTTGGACTCGACATGAAGAAACATTACAAAGGTTTGAAGAGAACATTTGTATTATACTTGAAACTCTGGCCGGTTTGACTCAAGATCATGATCGTCAAACATCTGTCAAAGCAAACGGTCTCCAATTATCAATCCAGAATTTTCAGTTGATATATACGCTTGTCGTTGTTCATCACTACTTGCGCTACACGAAACGGATTTCCTACCCATTGCAGTCTGTGGATCAGAATTTAGTTCGTGCCTCTAGTGAGTGCAAGGAGTTGATCGACCTTTTGAAATTGAAACGGAGCAATGACGATTCATGCAATTCATTGTTTGATGAGGCCTCCAAGTTAGCACAGAAATTGAATGTTGAGGTCAAAGAACCAAGAGTTATTGCTAGACAACAGTACAGATCAAATGCACATGGACCGATAAATTCTGTGCAAGATTACTTCAGACTAAATGTTCACAATTCTTTTTTGGATCACCTAATAACAGAACTTCAAGACCGCATTTGTACATCATCAGGACGTTTGACAGGAGAAATGCTTATGCCGCAACATATATCCAGTCTGACTAAGAACGACATGGATAAAATTCGGGAAGCTTATGCAGCATTCATTAATTCAGATGATCTTGATGTAGAGGTTGAGAGGTGGAAGTTCAAACTTTCTGCGCGTGAAGGAGAAGTCAGCAACACTGCCGTGTCTTTGCAAGACTGTTTTTTACTCACGAAGGATTTATACCCAAATTTGCACACTGTTTTTCATGTACTTTTAACGATGCCTGTTACATCCGCCACAGCTGAACGCAGCTTCTCGGCGCTCCGCCGTCTCAAGAGTTATATGCGTTCAACAATGGGATCAGAACGACTATCAGCTCTGGCGCTGCTGCATGTTCACACCGACATATTTCCTGACGTCACTAAAGTCATAAAAGACTGATGCCACAGGACATCGTAGAATTGTGTGTACCTTTGTTGACAATGATGACTGATTTGCCAAGCAACGTGTTTACGTAAGGTATATGGCGGTAAATATACTTAGGCTAGATTATGTTTGTAGCCCGTTCTTTGCGTAAAATGTTTTAAATATTGGTGAAATAGAAAAAAATGATTAAAACTATGCCTGTTTTGCTTTATGTTTTGCTGGAGTACTTTTGCTAATATGAGACATATGAGTCATGGCATGTGGTGACATTTATTTGGCTGTATATGATTAAGTAGGGCTGATCAATGACGATAGGAGACGGGAAGGTGTGCGTCCATTTTTTTAAGGCTGTGGGCGCCCCTGAAATGAGCTGACAATATTCTGTAATGTCATGGCCATGTTTGTAAAATGAGATGGCTGCTGAGAGCTGTTTTTTTGATGCCATCCAGATTCAGACAAGCTTTCCAAACCCTTCTCACTCTTCATTAATGACGATAAAAAGTATGCTAAAGGGAAAATTATCAAAACAATGATATTTAATTTTAATGATAATTACCTTTCACGGATTAAAATTGTTACAGTTAACCCTCTTTAGGCATAAGCTTCTGAAGTTTTGTAATAGTGCGCATGGTGAGAGGGGAAGTGGTGTTAATATTTTCATCATCCACACTGTAAAATTAGATATCAAATGTTCATAGTAATATTTCATTCATAGTATAGTAATAAACTCATCAGCTTGTATTTCTCCCTGATAGAATAAAGATTATTAACATTAGGGCTAGATATTTTACAAATTTTTGGAACTGTTTGTTTAAAAAAGGGAAACTGAATTGTGTACAATCACTTTTAAATTTTTAAAAATATTAATTTTAAGAATAAAATTTTAGCATTATAACTTTATCATTTTAATTCAGGTGAAGAAAAGCATCTATGCCTCCTCTACACATATTTAGAAGGTCAAGAATTTGAAAACGTAGCTGATCTGAATGATCCTAAAACAATATTTGAGCTGGGTGCATTTCTCGGGCTGCTACATAAGGCTCTAGAGGTGAGGTTTTGTTTCCGGTGGCACGTTCTCTAGTAAAGGACATTAGATCTCTGTCCCTGACTGCATGGGTGACTTAACTGCATACATAGCTTAATGAATAAAATTACTAATTTCCATCAAGTGGTAAATATCTTTAAATAAGCTCAAGACTAGTTTAATACATCTTAAAGTTAGCATAGAACACATTTTTGAATTTCTATTGTAAGTTACTTAGCATATTTTTTTTTACTATCAATGTCACTGGTAAGTTAGGAGAACTATACAATAATTGGACACATTTATTTTGAACTGAATTTCCATAAAAAACACTATATTCATTAGTGGTATTTTCAACTAAATGATGTTAGTTTTTGTTTTGATAGATTTTGACCATCTGTTTTTAAAAAAAATAATTCTATCGTAATAAAAGAGTTTTAAAACTGCAGTTTTTATTCCTATTTTTCTCCCAAGGATGTACCTCATGATGCTCTAGAGCCAGATCCATTAGATCCCTGGCTTCTTTGTAACGTCCACTTGTTAGGTAATCAAGAACACCTACTTAACATAATGGTAATAAATTATTTTAGTTTACAACAATTCTGGAGATCTAGAGACAACCTTACTAACCATTCATGACGATGCCATAAAATATTTCCACAAATAAATTTAGTGAAGATATTAAGTCAACAATATTATTATTATAAAATATTTCATTATAATTACTGTATTCATAATTCATAAATATCACCCTTTATTTCCTCCAGCATTTTCAACAATATGTTAACTGTATTAAAAATGTCTTATAATTATTATGAAAAGAAAAAGACCCAAAGTCAATGTGGATTTAATAAATTCTTACAAATTTATCAATTCATTTTGTTCTCAGAATGTTGATCTTAGACTTAAACTTGAAAAAATCATAAATCGGGCAGAAAAAAAACTAGCTGCATTATCAGGAGATCTGAAAAAAGGTTGCCACACATTCCCTTTATTTAATTTTTTTTTTTTAAATATACAAACATCAAAGTAAAATTTGAAATAAAACTAAAATTATAAGTTCAATAATAAATATAAAGACTCTACATCTGTTTTTTTTTTTTAATTTTTAACAAAAAAAATTTTTTTTGCAATAGAAGGCAGTAATTATTTTATTTATCAATTTTTTTAAATTTTGATAATGGGTTTGGTAATTTAACATTAAATTAAAAGCTTCTAATCTTACCAAGTTGAACAATTATTGATTGTTTCAGGAGTAGTGCATGGGGATTTTCATACATTAAATATAATTGTCAATGAAATGATGCCAAGTTTCTTGAACAGAATCAACTGTGGTCACAATAAAGATAAATTGAGTCAAGGAAGACCTACCCACCAAGGTTCTGTGGAGTTTCTATTAAATTGTTTGAGGGAAGCAAACACCGAAACCTGTAACCTGGATGTTAAAAAATTGTTATCAAGGTATGGCATCATCGACTTTGGGGAAATGATTTACACTTTCCAAATATTGGAAGTGGGTCGTATCATAGCTGACCTCATGGTGACGATCGTTATACTCAACACCAAGAGCAACAAACAAGTAAGGGAGGAATCAAATCAGGCAACACCAGATGTGAAGGCAGATACAGCAGAAGCACAGGATTTGAGTGAAGTTCGACTTGGGGCTCGTGAGTTGGCTGGAGATGGGTCCTGCCGTGAAGTCTTGAATTCAAGTGCTCAGAGAAACATTGGCATTAACTTCCCTAATATAATGTCTGTCGGAGGCTACATTTTGAAAGGCTACCACAAGACCAACGGTGTTTCTGTACAAGAAATGGAAGTACTGAAAGATTCTGTGATGGTGTCCCTGGCTCAGTACATTTTGTTGGGTAAGACATTTTTATGATATATATTGAATTACAGTTGTAGGTTCAATATTTTAAAATTAAATACATAAATTATTAAGATTTCCTTTCATTTATTCCTTTTAAGCCTGTGTCTGTAGGATCATAACCTCTTGTAAAAGTGAAGATCTCTTTATAGAATGATGTTCTCTTTAAATGTTGTCTATGGATGGCAGTAGTTTTTTTGTGTGCTAGTATGTTCTTTCAACATCCTAGTTAAATAAAAAGTAATAAGGGTAAAAAAGTGGTTGCAATAAATATTGACATGTTAAATACCATTAATTAAATGATATATCTATAATTAATTTATCCATTTTAATTGGGATTAATGAACGCAAGTTTTGATTAATAAATTTACTTTTATCACTTCCAGATTTTCAATTAGAATATTAGCACTATAATTTGGACTGTAATATAATTAATGCTGAACCTACCATGACATTTTGTGTTATTAAATTTTTCAAAAATATTCCTTAAATTTAGCCACAGCAATGGCTCTAATATTGTATATGGAGGTGAAGCAACTTCGAATATGTCTGCAATCTATTTTTATATAAAATGAATGATATTATTTCATTTCCATTATCATGTTTTCTTTCCTCATCCTTCATTACAGTTGGGATCTCAACTGAAGACAGGGCTGAATGTTTTGAGTACAATGTCCTTTGTCAGAAAGCAGCTGAGTTATTGCTTATAGAGCTGAGTGACGTCAGCCCAGACACTTTCTATGTGGCATGGGCTGATGCTGCTCTTCAGTGTTGATGGAGGAAAAATTAGCTGAGAGTAAAAGAGTGATGCCCACAAATCATTTCTTTGTATTAATCCACACTAAAACTGAAATTAAATCATTTGTGAAATCCAATTTTGTTTTAATGGTAAAATCATTTTTCAGATTTATTTTCCTAAAATGACTTTTATGTTTGATTTTTAAACAAGTATCATTCCAAAAATTCAAACACCTTCCATTATGCACAGAAGTTGCCATCATTGCAACACATCATATCCATATATATATATTAAGATTTTTAACATAGCCATAATATAATTCAAGGTCAATGATGTTGAAGTTACATTGAAATCCATACTGGTGCCAATAACCAGGACCTGTTTCATCAAACAACGCAAGTGATCTATTTAGCCCAACAATTCCCAAACTTTAAAGTGTGGCAGACCGGTTGATATGTTTCCAATGCCACCAATTACCAATGCCAGATTTATTAATTATTGTTATCTGTTTATTTGGCGTTAAATATGTCACTAAATATTTTTTTTTCAGCCAACTTAATAGGACACGAGTAACCATTATCATTTAATGATGGCCGTTAATAGTTTTATCCTGTGAAGGTTGCGTTAGAATTTTTTTTAAACTTTAATGGCATTTTTTGTGACTTGGCTACAATTAAGAAAACAAAACTTTTTTTATGTGAAAGGCAATCTCGATTTTTTCATGTTTGTTTTGAAACTAGACTCAAACTTTTCCCCCAGTTTTGACTCATGTTGTGCAGACTGGCACTGTAATGCTCATGGACTGGCACCTGTCCCCGGATCACAATTTTGATGAACGCTGATGTAGCCTACTAAGATCAACTGTGATTGCAGAGATAGAGATATCTGTACACTACATATTTCCGAGAACAACTCCATCTGTTTTCAGCTTTATTGATGAACTGAACGTGTTTTGTTAATATAAATTTTGTACCCAAATTTTTCTTAAAACTCACTGGACTAGGTATATGGTCAGTCCAAGTAAACAGAGGAACACGACTGCCCATCTGTTGTGCTGATGACTGCCCATATGTTATGCTGATGACTGCCCATCTGTTGTGCTGGTGACTGCCCATCTGTTGTGCTGGTAACTGCCCATCTGTTGTGCTGGTGAGACCGCCCATCAGCAAATACCAATGTCTGATTAGTTATTTTAAAGCTGACTTTTAACTTTGAACTAACCAACGATTCTCATTGGCAAGTTATTTTAAAATATTACCGATGACTTGAATCGTGCCTTTGATAAAGTGGAAAAATAAATAGCATTAAGTGCCTTTAGCAGCGCCCCCAAACTGATGAATAGGTTTGGCATAATATTTTTACTCTGTGTCACAGCCAAAATGTACTTTATTTTATGTATGTTCGCTATTGATTTTTAAATTTTATTTCTACATATAAGATAAAATTGTTTTATACATCCAAATAAATGCAAATTTTTAAAAATTTAATATATATTCTAACCAAAACGACATTTTACAATTATAACAATTTAAATTTAAACACAAGATATCTAAAGTGTTTCTCTAGCAAAAAAATTAGCAATCATATAACATAAAACCTAACTCTCTTAGTGACAATAATGACTTCATTAGTGATCATTTTGATTTTGTGACTGCTTGGGAGAGCATGCTGCCAGACTGGGGTGTCATTTTTTTTCTTTATAAGGAGGGGAGGCATTTTTGGACAAATGCAGCATTTTTTGTGGGATCTTGACCCGCCCCAGGCTTCACTTACCCTAACTACACCACTGATTCACTGATAATGGTTATTCTTACGGTATAGGAAGCTCTTCATTCTTATGTTAAGTCATTCACAGCACACAACCAATTAGAATAGGAAATGGAATCAAGTGTTTGTTGTTGTTTTTTTTTAACATTATTGTTTAATTTGTTAACAAAAGGAATGGAATACGATTTTCATAAGAACTGCTTTAAACATTTTAAATACATGATTACATTAGCACAGTAGTACAATTCTGGTCATGCTAAGGATAATTTTTCTTCAAAATTCTTCAACTATTGGAACTTTTCATAAATGGAATAATTGAATTCATTTCGTGGGATATCAAAATAAATCTTTAATTGGTTACCTATTAAAATACTAGTCGCTCAAATTGTGACTGCAAAAGAATGTAAGTTAATATAATAATAATTTTAAAAAATTTTAAACAAAACTTTTTGAAAATACTAAAATAGACTTTTTATAAAATTAATTGGAATAAATTAATTGGAATAATTTGCATCTCTTTAACTGACTAGGAAATGTTTCAATTCTATGGCACAGTGATACATGTTTATTTCCCTTTGACCTGGTCTAAAGGTAGCACAACTAACAACTATAAAATTGGACTTGTTAACAACACTATGTCCTTGAGTCTGAGACTAGAATAAAAAAAAAAGGTCAAAATAAATTCGTTTACATAATTTGTAATTTGTTTGATAAAAAATAATGTAATAATAAAAGACATCATAGAATTACATTACATTAAAAAAAATAACACCAAAAAAAACCCAATATAAATTGTATTTGCTTTTGTTATCAAAATTATCATTCGCATAAAATTGCATGGCGCAAAGGGTAAATAAAAAGCATTTTTGTCTTTTTTTTTTAAAGATTTAAATAGTATGGTTTTAAAAGATCAATTACAAATACTTGAATTTGAAGCATACAACTTTCTTTTAATTTCAAATACCATTTCATTTAGTTTTGCAAAACCCGACCGGTGTAGGACTTTTAAAAGAGATTTAAATACGGTACCGTAGTAAAGTTGTAACTAATATTTTAATAGTCTCCAGTCACGCTTCTGTTGCTGTATTTCTGGTCGTCAATTAAAGAAAACAATTACACCTTATTCTCTGAACTAATTACTGTCCTTGAGAAGTAGAGGTGACCTCAGCTGCCTGCCGGCATCCCAAGCCAGAAGCCTCCTGTTGGCGGTGTCGTAGGTCAACATGACCGTGTTGCCGTACGGGTTGTTGACCGTTATCTTGATGGGCTGGGTCCGGTTGTGCCACAGGTCGTGCTCCTCGTCCACGAACGAGGTCTGCCGGTTGTGGTGCCGCACCGTGTACAGCTTGCCGCAGGCGATGAAGGCGTTGCCCTTGGAGCCGACCTGCACCTCCACGTGGAGGGACTTGACGATGTCCAGGGTCTCCTCGTTCAGCAGGGCCACCATCAGCTTGGGGTTACCCCCGAGGCTGTAGATGATCCACAGGCCGTTCTCGTCCACGTTGAAATCCACGAACAGGCTCTCCGAGTGGTAAAGGAACGTCTTCGAGCCCTTCACCACCTTGTGGTTGAGATCGGAGAGCTGTCTCACGGTGGTGACCTCCCCGAGCGCCAGGTTGTACCGGACGATCTTCTGCTGGCGGGCCCAGTGGTAGTAGAGAAAGCCGCCGGACACCACGTGACCGGTCCCGAAGAAGGGCGTGCCGCTAAGGCTGAGCTCTCGTTCCACGACGCCTTTCTCGAAGTTCCCCTCGGAGCTGTACTCCAGGACGGTTTCGCCCTCCAGACCCAGGGTCACCCATATTTTGTTGGCCGACGCGGCCGTAGGCTTGGGGTCCACCATCCACGTCCCGATAAGGGATGTTGATTGCTTGACGAAGACTGGCTTGCCGATGACCTCAATGCTGCATTCTATGCATGCAGGGAAACATAATTAATCCCATTTAAGAGTAGTATCATTAATCACTCGTTTTCATTCCATAATTCCCATGCATTAAAAATACCACTACCGAGCAAATTTAATAAAAAATCTTTCTTTTTAGAGATATTCTATGCACGTTAATTGAACATAAAAATGCCTCTTAGTTTGCTGAAGCCGGTTCAGTGAACCCTTTTTTTCTTTTTACATCTTTGTAGCCATTCCATCTAGCGCTTAGTTTATTTTCCTATGTTTCAATTTTTGTAAAAATAAACTTACAATTTACCACGGAGTTTGGATGGAGATAATGTAGTTAGATCCATTGAAAAATTCATATAAAGATTTATGTAGCTTCTCATCATTAATTGCAGGTACTCATTTTTTTTTCATTGATTTTTTTTTAAATTATAAATTTAACTTTTAAATCGTCAAAAAATATATTTTTTTTAAGATATCAAATAAAAGTCCTGGCGTTCTGTAACTTAAAAATGTACATATTATTTACTTATTTGCATCATTTAATTCTTTAGTATCGTTCCTCGGATTGAATAAGAAAAAAATTAATTCCCAATAATTAGCTAAATCAAATAATCTTTTTCTCAAACATATGGTAGGCCTATGTCAGAGACGTAGCTAGAGTGTTCTGCGCCGGAGGACAAAATTCATTTAGGGCCCCCCCCCCCCCATTTTTTTCCCCCTTTTTTCTCTTAAAATCTGAAACACATTAATTTCATCAATAAACTACCCTCAAAGCCCATTTTGGACCCCCCCCCCCAATCTAGTCTGGCCCCCGGGGACATGTGTCCTCCTCTGTCCCCCTTTAGTTACGCCTCTTATGAATATATATATATATATACGGTATATTCTAGTCTGGCGCCCGGGGACATGTGTCCTCCTCTGTCCCCCTTTAGTTACGCCTCTTATGAATATATATATATATATATATACGGTATATACATATATGCGGTATATATATATATATAAATAGTATATATATATATATATAATATATATATATAAGATCATGCTGTATGTTTATGAGGAGAATGGGTTGTTTAACTGTAGCCGAGGGACAAACAATGAAGCAACATGAGACTATAATTGTTTATCAATTGGAATTAGAGAGATGCATTCATTGCATGCTTATCTTCGTACACGATAAATCGTTTTTAAGAGATTGTTGAGTGACTGAGTTTTATATTTTATAATGCCGATTATTAATGTGAAAAAAAAAATATATTTTAAAAAATCTATAACATAATAATTCAAATTTGAGGGAACTATTTAGAGGATATTTAAAAGAACATTAGCAGTAAGTAACTACACGTAGGCCCTAATAGTGCAAACATATATTTTTTTAACATTTGTTTACATGCTAACGTCGCGATAAGAACTGTTTTTAGCGTTGGGATATATTTATATATATTTTTTGTTTAAATTTATAAATAACAAACAATATTTTAATTATTATTTAAATTTTATTTTGCAGACTGCTTTATTCATGTATGCACCTAAATGTGTCCAGTTCTTTTTGTTTTGTTTTTTAAATATTATTTCTTCTTAAAATTTGTAAAGAATAGAAGAAATGAAATGAATATTTGCTATAGAATGGGACTCTACTACTGCTCATTACTGCCTAACAAACCGCCCTCCCCCCCCCCCCCCCCCCCCCCCCCCGCCCACACACAAAATTATTCTATTTCCTTTTACGAAATTTCTTTTCTGCAAGACTGACTTCTTATGTGTTATGTACTTCGTGGCATTTACAAGTTTCTTGCCTTTAATATCCATAGGCCTTTCTATCAATACAAGTTAACTTTTTTTTTATCGTGATTCATGGAACTTCCACTGGAGCTTGATTATCATCTTATGAGGCTCTGCATAATTTATAATTTTTTATGGACCATCAATGCATCTCTTTTCATAATAAAGTAACATCCCATATGTTCAAAGAACTTTTACAAAAATTAATTAATTAAATTAACGAGCTTCCAAAAATAATTTTAGCTACCGGGTATGCTACTTGTAGCTTTTAAAAATTATTGAGATTAATATGTAAATAGGAGGTTTTTTTAATTATTACTTTTTTTTAATTGAAAAGATATGACTCTAAAAAAATTGGCACATTATTTTTCACTTATTTACCCATAACTAAAAATGAACAGAAAGATACATTTTAATTATGTACAGAAATGTTGGTTTGATTTTATAATTGAGATTAGTATTAGTCCTTTCTAATAATTGTCTCGTCTAAAACACACAAAAAACACCCCAAAAAAATGTACTTTGTACTTCACACCTTTTACAATTGTAAAAAAATTTTGTTTCCCGAAAAATTGAAAATGAAATAAAAAATGTTTATTTTCTTACTTGTAATATCAATAATTTTTTAAATTGTTTTTTTCTCTCCTTAAACGAAAACGTAGAGCTTTTTTGTAACAAAATTGAAAAAACATCGATTTTGTATTTTAAATATAAGAAAAGACGGAAACTAACAGGCCTGCAAGATAAGTTATCTATATTTTAAGGAACAATGTACATTTGTTTCTATATTCTAACGAACAATGTACATTTTTTTTCTATATCCTAAGGAAGATTGTACATTAAAAATACATATTTAGAAAACACTAAAATAGGTAGCCCTATACATTACCAGTGCAAGGTAATAAATAAAATAATGTTAAAAAACATTTCAATCAAAACATCATCAAATATAATTCTTTTGACAGGTTTAATCACAGAAGTAGTTCATCAAAGCAAGTCATCCAAATAACTTTACAGTGAAATCCTACGCTAATTATGCATCTGATCTCTGCATGCCATTATCGTAGGTAGAATACACCCCACACCCACCCCCCCCCCTTTTTTTTCCGAACTCTTTTTATGCATTATAAATAAGATCGTAGCCTACATATGGCAACCGTTCAAGAGTTCTCAATTACACATTGATGGCAAAAGTAATAACAACAATTACGATCACAGACAAAATAGGATATGTAATATACAGATATACCGACTACCAGCGTTGCTTTCTACAAGCGCCTTCAATGTTCTGGGGGGGGGGGGGGGGGTTGGGGTTGGTGACGGAAATTTCGGTGCAAGTTAATGCGATTTAGAGGACAAGCCCTCGTGTATCCGAATCAGTCATGTGTAGAGGACAAGCCCTCGTGTATCCGAATCAGTCACGTGTCTCCAACTATGAGTTATTAGCGGGGTTACCGAAACATTTTTTTTTTTTTAAAGTTTATGGCATCCACGAATCGTTGTGTCCTTGTTAAGAAGAAATGAATGCCCTCAAGTTCTAGAAAGAGCGACAGTTTGGAACTGATAATTTTTTTTTTTCAATTTGAAATCATATTTGGTTAGCATGAGACATTACAACGCGCATGCTTTGTTTTCCACCCCTACCATTTTTATAGTTATTGCCCTACATCATCTCAAGGGAACACTCTTTAAACAAAAATATGACACAATAAAATTTCGTTTGAAAATCATCAAATGTTTACGTCAATTCTCCTCCCCAAAAACAAGAACGTGACAGAAGCGAACTTGCAGTTTCCTTGAGACGCAATGACATGCTTTGCTCAAAAAAATTTCATCAGTCATGTCAAGATTTGCAAAGACATCATGTAAAATGTGTGATAGAGGTTCATTAATCCATTTAAAAACAATTCATTAGGGAGCAATAGTGATAATGATAGTAATAGAAAATCACCATAAATAAATGTTGTGCTCAGACCTTTTAGACATGTACAAATGTACATAATGTATGTACACCAAAAAAAAAATGGGAGATTAAACACTGACATTAGAAATAAATATTATTTCTCTGTGTGGTTCAGTTTTTAAATGCACACATTGAACGCTCGTATTCAAACTTAGCTGTTGATCTGAATCTTTTGTTCAAACAACAATCACAGGTTTTTCAGTCCATGATAGATTACTTACTTCGACACGTCAAAACTAATGAGTATACGGTAGTATATCACTGATTTGTACATTTTTAAAAAAATTACATTAAAAAACATTTGTCCAGACCAAAATTTTTATTGTTGTTAAATACACCCAAAAAGAACTGCGAGATATTTTCTATAACAGAAAATAAGTAACTGATATATTTTACAGAGGAACTACGTTTAAATTCTAAGATTTGTTTTAGTTTTTTTGTTTTTTTGTTTTTTTTAGAAGCGGTGCCATTGAAATAACCCTTGGAAGGAAGTAGATTAAAGGACACATTGAAATTAGTTGTGTTTCTTTTGGCGATATAACTGAAGTAAAGTACGGTTAAAAAAAAAATAAAAAATTAAAGGATTTTATTATATTCTAAGCACCAGATCCGTTCGTTCCTCGTCCTTTTACTTCGAATCTGCGTTTACTTTTTGTCATCCTGATAATGAAGGAGCATTGGGGACACCATCTGCTTGCCGTCACCCCAAACCAAGAGCTGGACGTCCCTGCTGTTGAACTTGACCATGTTCGTGTTGGCCGACGGGTTGGCGAAGATCATCCTCATCCGTTTCGTCTCGTTGAGCCACAGGTCGAACTCCTTGTCCAGGTACGACTTCCTGCGATTGTGGTGACGCAGGGTGTACAGCCTCCCGCAGACGACGAAGGCATTGCCCCTCGACCCCAGCCGCACGTCCACCGGCACGGTGTCGACGATCGCCATTCTGTCCACGTCCAGCAGGCTGACCTGGACCTTCCCCGACGTCCCGTTGCCGTAGATGACCCACAGCCCGTTTTCGTCCGCGCTGAAGTCGATGAACATCGTGCGTGAGCGGTAGAGGTAGCCCTGCCAGTTCATCTGCGCGTTTGGCGCGAAGACCACGTCAGCGATCGTCAGTACGCCGGCCAGCTCGCCCCGGGCTATGTCGTAGCGGATGATCGAAGGGTTGTTCGCCCAGTGGTAGTAGAAATATCCCGCGTAGACGACGTGGCCCGTGCCGAAGTAAGGATGGTCGTCCAAATAGTGCTCCGTG